AACTAAATTTTTGACACATAATAGGTTTCTGACACAGAATAACTGTAGTCAAAGAACTTCAAATTGGTTATATGATTTGAATTTATATTCAATTTATTGCTTTTGTGCAATACACTATGTTGTTGCCAATTGACCCCCCCCCCCCCAACCAAAAAAAAATTTATTTTACCCCGGTTTTTTGCTTTTGTGCAATACACTATGCTGTTGAATATGAACCCCCCCAAAAAAAATATTTGAAGAAATTTTCTTTTAATTTCTGAAATCTGAAATGAGAAAAATTGTCCCCCCTCCAATTTTTTTCACCTCCCCCCTTTCCCTTATTCCCCAAAAAAATTCTTTCCCTCAAGATATGGTCAGTATCTCAATTCAAATTTCTAATGCAGTTTGCAACCAAAATTACCCATTTAAATACATCATAAAAGTTTTAAAATATAAAATGACATACATAGTCTTGGCTAAAATTAATATTAATTAATAGTAACTGCTAATAAAATGCTCCGCAGGGCGCAGCTTGATACGACCGCAGAGGTCGAACCCTGAACAGTTGGGGCAAGTATGGACACAACATTCAAGCTTGATACAGCTTTGCATTTGGATTGTGATTAAATATTTGACACAGCATAGGTTTCTGACACAGAATGAATGTGGTCTAAGAACTTCAAAATTTTAAATTGGAAATTCACATATTTTTATGGTCCAATATCCAAAATCTAAATACATGGTTAGAAAATCAGCATATCAAAGAACCCCAAGAATTTAATTTTTGATGAAATCAAACAAAGTTTAATTTTGGACCCTTTTGACCTCAATGTGGACAAAGTTGATAACGGGGCCCAAAAATCAAAAATCTAAATACATGGTTAGATTCAGCATATCAAAGAATCCCATATATTCAATTTTTGTTGAAATCAAACAAAGTTTAATTTTGGACCCCGATTTGGACCAACTTGAAAACTGGGCCCATAATCAAAAATCTAAATACATGTTAAGATTCAGCATATCAAAGAACCCTAAGAATTCAATTTTTGTTAAAATCAAACTAAGTTTAATTTTGGACCCTTTGGACCTTAATGTAGACCAATTTGAAAACGGAACCAAAAATTAAGAATCTAAATACACGGTTAGATTCGGCATATCAAAGAACCCCAATAATTCAATTTTTGATGAAATCAAACAAAGTTTAATTTTGGACCCTTTGGACCTCAATGTGGACCAATTTAAAAACGGGGCCCAAAATCCAAAAACTAAATACACGGTTAGATTCAGCATATTAAAGAACCCCAAGAATTCAAGAAAAAACCCCATTGAAATTGGTCAAGAAATAAGCAATTTATACGAAGTATCTTCTTTTGCACAATACTGTGCAATTAAATATGTTTTGCTATTGCGCAATACTGTACAATTGACAATTTCTTGCTATTGCGCAATATTGTGCTAATGGATATTTCTTGCTATTGCGCAATACTGTGCAATTGAAGATTTCTTGCTATTGCGCAATACTGTGCAATTGAAGATTTCTTGCTATTGTGCAATACTGTGCAATTGAAAATTTCTTGCTATTGCACAATACTTATTATATAATAATTTACACATCCTGTTTGGTGTGTATCGCCTACCATATCATTATTATTTGCGTTTAAATATAAATCAGAAATAACCAACTTAAAATGAAAAATTTTAAAAGAAAAAAAAAAGGAAAAAAAAAAAATCCCCCCCCCCCAAATTTTTTGAACCCCCTTATGATTCATCACCCCAAACTCAATCCCAGCCTTTCCTTTGTGGTATGGTACCTTGCAGTACAATTTCAGAGAGATCCATATACTTGAACACAAGTTATTGTCTGGAAACTAGAAAAATGTGTTTTTTTGCCCCTTTTTGGCCCCAAATTCCTAAACGTGTAGGGAAATTACCCCCAAACTCAAACCCAGCTTTCCCTTTGTGATATGGAACCTTGTAGTACAATTTCAGAAAGATCCATACACTTACACACAAGTTATTGTCATGAAACTAGAAAAATGCTTGTTTTTTGCCCCTTTTTTGGCCCCTAATTCCTAAAATTTTGAGGCAATTACCCCCAAAATCAATCCCAGCATTCCTTTTGTGATATGGAACCTTGTGGTACAATGTCAGAGAGATCCATTATACCTCCAGTAGGATTGGATTGATTTCCTAATAAAATTACACTATTGATAAAAGGAAGCTCCTTTTCGAATTAACAAAATTCTGATATGTCGTTCTAGAGTTACGGTTCATTAGCTGTCACATTTCAGTAAATTTTTCACATATTGTACCATAAGTTACCAAATTAAGGAAGTTTTTGACATCACGCACTATAGCTATACTTTGATTAAATGACTACAAACTTCATACTGCTGTTTGGAGGGTAAATGTAGACTGCCTTTTGATTTTGAAAATTTTCTGGTTCCAGAGTGTAATTGTCATCGGAATAATCAATAAAAGACACGTAAGCAGCGATCAACGATGTAATACACAATCTTGAACAGGTGAGTCCGGGCTGTGACCTGACACGACCCCGGACTAGCTTGAAGTTTACTATACCTGCGTGTATTGCATTACGATTACTAACTGTATATAAACTGTTTATTGTCGTAAAGCTTGTTGACGGAACATTTGATCTTACGTGTAATACATAGAAAATTTAAAAGACATTTATGCGAGATTCAACGAAATAATCAAATGTTGGTCGTAATAGGCGAGTCCGGGTGGTGACCTGAAGTGACCCCGGACTAGGTGTATTTGCAAAATATAGACATCGATAGAAATATTAAACTTTACACATTATTTGATAAAAAGAGGTTTTTCAGTTTTATTCATCTAACTTTTTGCTTATTTGATTGTCATCGGAAAAATTAACAAAAGACGTTTATCCGAGAATCAACAAAATAAAACTAGGTGAGTCCGGGACGTGACCTGAAGTAACCCCGGACTAGGAGTATAGGAATTATATATATATATTCAATTAATTGCTGAATTGAAAGATGTTTTTTTTTTCTTTTTTTCTTTATTCATTTCTTTATTTCTTTAATTATTTAATTGTCATCGGAATAATCAATAAAAGACACGTAAGCAGCGATCAACGATGTAATACACAACCTTGAACAGGTGAGTCCGGGCTGTGACCTGACACGACCCCGGACTAGCTTGAAGTTTACTATACCTGCGTGTATTGCATTACGATTACTAACTGTATATAAACTGTTTATTGTCGTAAAGCTTGTTGACGGAACACTTTTATAAATTATCTCATAGTTCAAAGTCAAACTAGCGGTGTTCCGTGTAAACAAAGTTTTCAAAATCTGATTTTGTTCATAACGCTTTAATTTAATAAATTTGTTTAATTCGGTCCTTCCCTAATTTGATCATCAGCATGGCTACGGATTTCTTGCCAGAGGTATTGTGAGGAGACATGACCAGGTATTCAAACGATTTCCTGTCGGACTAAAAACACTTATTATACAATTACGTAATGCTGGTTCATGCATCGCTGACTGCTGACCATATATACCACTGTGTATACATCAGAATACACGGCCGGTAGTTTGGAACGTTCAGGTGTAATATACATACACATTTTGTTTGTTTTGAGTCCGACAGTGATACACGATACATTTCTTAACTCATATGAGGCAAATTTACTACCACTTGTTTATGTATAACAAATTTGTAAATAAACACACTGTATGTATGATTTATTTATTATTATTATTATAATGCATCTTGTTATAGTTCTCCAAAAATTACCATCCTTCTCCTGAATAAAAAAGGAAAATATAATTCTAAGAAAATTCACTTTCCCCTATAATTTATCCTAAAATATTTCCATGTGTTTTAAGGTCATTTGTAAATATGCATACTGTAGGTAGGATTTATTTTTATTATTATAAATTATAATGCATCTTGTTACAGTTCTCCAAAAATTTAACTTCCTTCTCTTGAATAAAAAACGAAAACATAATTCGAAGAAAATTCACTTTCCCCCTATAAATTTATCCAAACAATATTTCCATGTGTTTTAAAGTTATTTGTAAATATACATACTGTAGGTATGATTTATTATTATCATAATGCATCTTAATACACTTCTCCAAAAAACTATCTCCCTTCTCATGAATAAATAAGGGAAACATAATTCCAAGAAAATTCACTTTCCCCCAATAATTTTTACCCAGTACGGGTCCGGCGTCCGGTCCGGGTCCGGGTTTCATACCAAAGTCCGGGTCCGGAGTCCAGTCCGGTCCGGGTTTCAGGACGTACCCCAGAGTTATGACTTTTTTCAGTCGTATTTAATTTGAAGCAATAATTGTATGCCTAACGATTCTGTTATAGAGACATTTTATTAACTTTTAATTCGATGCTTTCTAAATATTTCATTTTATTCTTAAAAATTATTAATTTCTAAATTTCAATATGCACAAGACGACATAGCATGCGCTCCAGGTGGTCAACTCCACACACCGTATACAACCGCCTCCTATTAAAACAAAAGGCACGTCTTTGTCTATATCGCTCACCTGGTGAACAGGTGCCAGTCTGCTAATGATGACATTTATATGCACATACTAGTTATTTTTTGCTGATCATTTTTGCAATTTACATCCTACAGTTTTGAGACAAAAGCCAAAACTGCAAAAAAAAAAAATCTACATTGCAGGGCAACAACTCCGAAACAATATTGTCAGATTTTCTAAAATATTGTCCTGCTGATCTTTTTTGTGAGTTAAACTTTTAGCTTAGCTCCTTTAATTTTCAAGATAACAGCAAAGCACTGCAAAAATGAATATTTCAGGGGCAATATTTTCACAACCTGAAGACAGATTTTTCTGAAATGTTTAGGGAAATAAAGATCTTCACGTGCTGACCATTTTTGCATTCTACACTTTTAACCTAGCTCCACAGTATTGAAGATAACAGGTAACCTTCGGGCCAGCTGAGCTAAAAAGTATGCTCCGCAAAATTTTGACCACTTTTACCGATCTTACCTATGATATTAACCGGATCTGTATTCCACGTTTTCGGAAACTCATCACTTTCGCCTACATCTTCTGAAGCGTCCTCGCTGATGACCGTACCAGTTTTTCCACATACAATTGCTAATGTAGGTATACCCTGCACTTCAAACGTTTCTGACAACTTGTTCTAATGAAAAAAGATGTCATGTAGGAACAGAAAATGAGGTCAATGAACAATGACAGCCATCTTTGCGGCCATTTTCGGATTATTTAATCATATCAGACATGTTTATAAAATCTAAAATACATCGACATATACATTCAACTCGGACCAAAAATCGAAAAATATAATGCTTCATTTTATTTTATAAATATTATTGAACAAATAATCTAAAAGAAGATGCATATATGTACTTAATGCACGTAAAATCAGTAAAACATGTTCATTGCATATAAAACATCTAAATAAATGGGGAATGTGTCCATGGGACACAGATGATGCCCCCGCTTGCATATAACGTTATAAAGGGACATAACTCAAGAACGGTAAAAGTGACGCTACCCAAATTCGTACTTGATCTGAGTTTTGTGGTAATAAGCATTGTGTATAAGTTTCATAACATTTGGTTGAAGTAAACTTTAGAGAACGGCAACGAAAAATTCAGCAATTTTTCCATTTACAAAGGGGCATAATTCTACAAAGGTAAACGTGACGCCACCCAAAGTCAAACTTGATCTGTGTTTTGTGGTAATAAGCATTGTGTATAAGTTTCATAACATTTGGTTGAGGCAAACATAAGTTAGAGAACGGAAATAAATAAAATGCTCCGCAGGGCGCAGCTTGATACGACCGCAAAGATCGAACCCTGAACAGTTGGGGGAAGTATGGACACAACATTCAAGCTTGATACAGCTTTGCATTTGGATTGTGATTAAATATTTGACACAGCATAGGTTTCTAACACAGAATGAATGTGGTCTAAGAACTTAAAAATTTTAAAAAGGACATTTACCTATTATGGTCCAATATCCAAAATCTAAATACATGGTTAGATTCAGCATATCAAAGAACCCCAAGAATTCAATTTTTGATGAAATCAAACAAAGTTTAATTTTGGACCCTTTTGACCTCAATGTGGACAAAGTTGATAACGGGGCCCAAAAATCAAAAATCTAAATACATGGTTAGATTCAGCATATCAAAGAAACCCATATATTCAATTTTTGTTGAAATCAAACAAAGTTTAATTTTGGACCCCGATTTGGACCAACTTGAAAACTGGGCCCATAATCAAAAACCTAAATACATGTTTAGATTCAGCATATCAAAGAACCCTAAGAATTCAATTTTTGTTAAAATCAAACTAAGTTTAATTTTAGACCCTTTGGACCTGAATGTAGACCAATTTGAAAACGGAACCAAAAATTAAGAATCTAAATACACGGTTAGATTCGGCATATCAAAGAACCCCAATAATTCAATTTTTGATGAAATCAAACAAAGTTTAATTTTGGACCCTTTTGACCTCAATGTGGACAAAGTTGATAACAGGCCCGAAATTCAAAAATCTAAATACATGGTTAGATTCAGCATATCAAAGAACCCCATATATTCAATTTTTGTTGAAATCAAACAAAGTTTAATTTTGGACCCTGATTTGGACCAACTTGAAAACTGGGCCCATAATCAAAAATCTAAATACATGTTTAGATTCAGCATATCAAAGAACCCTAAGAATTCTATTTTTGTTAAGTTTAATTTTGGACCCTTTGGACCTTAATGTAGACCAATTTGAAAACGGAACCAAAATTTAAGAATTTAGATACACGGTTAGATTCGGCATATCAAAGAACCCCAATAATTCAATTTTTGATGAAATCAAACAAAGTTTAATTTTGGACCCTTTGGACCTCAATGTGGACAAATTTAAAAACGGGGCCCAAAATCCAAAACCTAAATACATGGTTAGATTCAGCATATTAAAGAACCCCATGAAATCAAGAATAAAACCCCATTGAAATTGGTCAAGAAATAAGCAATTTATAGGAAGTATCTTCTTTTGCACAATCCTGTGCTATTAAATATTTCTTGCTATTGCGCAATACTGTACAATTGACAATTTCTTGCTATTGCGCAATATTGTGCTATTGGATATTTCTTGCTATTGCGCAATACTGTGCAATTGAAGATTTCTTGCTATTGCGCAATACTGTGCAATTGAAGATTTCTTGCTATTGTGCAATACTGTGCAATTGAAAATTTCTTGCTATTGCACAATACTTATCATATAATAATTTACACATCCTGTTTGGTGTGTATCTCCTACCATATCATTATTATTTGATTTTAAATATAAATCAGAAATAACCAACTTAAAATGGAAAATTTTAAAAGAAACAAAAAAGGAAAAAAAAAAAAAAATCCCCCCCCCCCAAAATTTTTTGAACCCCCTTATGATTCATCACCCCCAAACTCAATCCCAGCCTTCCCTTTGTGGTATGGTACCTTGCAGTACAATTTCAGAGAGATCCATACACTTGAACACAAGTTATTGTCTGGAAACTAGAAAAATGTGTTTTTTGGCCCCTTTTTGGCCCCAAATTCCTAAACGTTTAGGGCAATTACCCCCAAACTCAAACCCAGCTTTCCCTTTGTGATATGGAACCTTGTAGTACAATTTCAGAAAGATCCATACACTTACACACAAGTTATTGTCCTGAAACTAGAAAAATGCTTGTTTTTGGCCCCTTTTTGGCCCCAAATTCCTAAAATATTGAGGCAAGTACCCCCATCATCAATCCCAGCCTTTCCTTTGTGGTATGGTACCTTGCAGTACAATTTCAGAGAGATCCATACACTTGAACACAAGTTATTGTCTGGAAACTAGAAAAATGTGTTTTTTGGCCCCTTTTTGGCCCCCAATTCCTAAACGTTTCGGCAATTACCCCCAAACTCAATTCCAGCTTTCCCTTTGTGATATGGAACCTTGTAGTACAATTTCAGAAAGATCCATACACTTACACACAAGTTATTGTCATGAAACTAGAAAAATGCTTGTTTTTTGCCCCTTTTTGGCCCCTAATTCCTAAAATTTTGAGGCAATTACCCCCAAAATCAATCCCAGCATTCCTTTAGTGATATGGAACCTTGTGGTACAATGTCAGAGAGATCCATACACTAACACACAAGTTATGTCTGGAAGTTACAAAAATGCTTATTTTTGGCCCCTTTTGGCCCCTAATTCCTTTACTGTTGGTACCATAACCCCCAAAATCAATCCCAACCTTCCTTTTGTGGTATTGAACCTTGTGGTAAAATTTCATAAAGATCCATTCACTTAAACTAAAGTTAGAGTGCGAAAACCAATGTGTCTTCGGACGACGCAGGACGACGCCGGACGACGACGACAACGACAACGACGACGACGACGCCAACGTCATACCAATATACGACCACAAAAAAATTTTTGAGGTCGTATAAAAATTCAGCAATTTTTATATTGGAAATTTGCCAAAAACTGTATTATTAATAAATTCCATTGGAAATTTGCCAATAACTTTAGTTTAATGAACTTCATTGGAAATTTGCCAATATAAAATGTTGCTGATAAAGCTTCACCTAAATTGCTTTTAAAAGCTGGGTTTGAGTTTGGGGGTAATTGCCCTAAACGTTTAGGAATTTGGGGCCAAAAAGGGGCCAAAAAACAAGCATTTTTCTAGTTTCCAGACAATAACTTGTGTTCAAGTGTGTGGATCTCTCTGAAATTGTACTGCAAGGCAGGGGCGGATCCAGCCATTTTTAAAAGGGGGGTTCCCAACCCAGGATAAAGGGGGGGGGGTTCCAACTATATGTCCCCATTCAAATGCATTGATCGTCAAGAAAAAGGGGGGGGGGGGGTTCCAACACCCGGAACCCCTCCTCTGGATCCGCCACTGCTGCAAGGTACCATACCACAAAGTGAAGGCTGGGATTGAGTTTGGGGGTGATGAATCATAAGGGGGTTCAAAAAATTTTGGGTGGGGATTTTTTTTTTCCTTTTTTTTCTTTAAAATTTTCCATTTTAAATTGGTTATTTCTGATTCATATATAAAAGCAAATAATAATGAAATGGTTTGAATAGGTAAATTAAAATTTTTTAAGTTCTTAGACCACATTCATTCTGTGTCAGAAACCTATGCTGTGTCAAATATTTAATTACAATCCAAATTCAGTGCTGTATCAAGCTTGAATGTTGTTTCCATACTTGCCCCAACTGTTCAGGGTTCGACCTCTGCGGTCGTATCAAGCTGCGCCCCAGCGGAGCATTTTATTCCACTTGTAAAGGGGCATAACTCTAGAACGGTAAAAGTGACATCACCAAAATTCAAACTTGATCTGTGTTTTGTGGTATTTAGCATTGTGTATAAGTTTCATAACATTTGGTTGAGGCAAACTAAAGTTAGAGAATGGACATACGGACGGACGGACGTACAGACGGACAAGGGTAAAAAATAAAATGTCTTTTTCTTTGGTTCTTTATGTTTTTTTCATGCAGTTATACAAACAGTTTGTGTTTTATGCTTTCCAAACTTTGAATCTCGAGTGTCCCTGTTGTTGGTTATTCGAAGAACCGATTACATGCAAACTTAAGTCGATTTCGTACTATTATTATTTTACTACCGCCCAGTTATCGGTGCTTCTCTATATATGAATGCCATTACATATTTTATTTAAAAGTAATTATGTACAATTGTGTACAAAACCGAAAATAAATTTTCATGAGGCTATACATTTTTGTATCACGAAAAATAAATCAGCCGTCCTAGGAACAGACGAAAACGGCTCCTGCCCCCAGAATATGAAATGGTAATCGCCTAACTAAAACGACATCTGTGCATGCATTTTTTTTAATATGATGAGTAATGGTTGTTTAACGTCCAGCGGCAACTTAAATTCATATTCGGGACAAGTAAATGCGATATGATTATAAACCCTGCATTGTATTAGACCGACACGCTGATCCGGATTTTTAGTGGTCTAGTTAACAAAATAAGTCCACAGGAAAATATGTCACCCTACCTAGACATATTCTGACTCCGAACCGACCAGTATTTGCTCTTACTCCTAAAGCCGCGTTCTTAGCGGGAAGCAGCAAATACTATTTTTAAAGTTTTTTTGTTTGATCCGACCAAAGTGCCGAAAAATGACATCGCGCAGTCGAGGCGAGCACGCTACCACCATTACGCTTTAAGAAAGGAAAAAAACAAACTAAATGATTACCCTTCGTTCTTCGTCGTCATATGGAATGGTTAACCAAGGCATCTCTTTATAATAATCGTCAAAATTAGACTGGTCCCTGTCAGAACTAACAAAGATGACTTCAAATGGATGACCAGCTTTCTTCCATGTCTCATATTTCTTGGCCAAATGTGGTGTAAAGGCACGGCAAGGTGGACACCAATGTGCAGAAAAATAAACACCTGTATTATATAATTTTATAATACAGTAAAGAAATGAGCAAGCATAAGTAAACACGCATTTAAACTAACAATGAAAAAAGAGTACAGTTGTGAGCCATAAAAGTGTCCTGTGAAAAAGTGTCCAGGTGGACACTTTTTCACAGAAAAGGTTCATTTAAATGTGTCCGATGCTGTTAAAAAGTGTCCATTCAATCGGACATAATTTCATAATAAAACTATTAAATTCTGTCCTGTAAATGTTGATGTTCGAATAAGAGACACTTTTTCACAGTAAAAATTGTCCTTTAAAGGGAGATAATAAAAAGTCACTGAAATGTTTTAGCTATATTTAATTTCCTATTACTAATACAAACCAATTAAGAACCTACGAAGGACACTTTTTCATATGAAATATTGTCCTTTCTTTGAAGGACACTTATTCACATCTGTGGGCACGATTTCACAAGTAAATATCGTCCGGACAATATTTCATAATAACATTATGTCCGTGGACACAATTTACTGTGAAAAAGTGTCCGGTGGACATAATTTTCATAGCGGACAATATTTAATCCTACACAGTCGGCATGCATATATCAAAGATAAATCAAATATATCGACATAGTTAGTTTCTTACCCTATCAAACCTTCTCTCATTTTCCCGAGGAGAAAATTTCTTACAGACATGTGTACAGAAAAACCTTTCAAAACATTGTTATCAGTCATCGCCATTAAGCAGGCAAAATACAGATATAAAAAAAATGATACATAATGGGCTGTTTCAGAAATTTTCTGCCCCCCCCCCTTTTGGAAGATGCTAGAATATCTCGTATAACCTGACATTTTTTTTGTGTGTCAAACCTTATGAAAAATATTGGATTTCATTTTTGGTTTTGTTTGGTAAAACAAAATTGGTGAAAAAAACGATGGAATTTCAGAAATTTTTGTGAAATCGGCAAAAACAATTCTTAGGAAAAAAGATTAGACATAAGCGTGTTTCCATTTGAAAAAAATGGGATGGGGTAAACAGACTATTTCTGGAAACGTCCATTTACCACACATCATATGGGAACATTACTGGTCACTCAGGTCGATAGAACCATTTTGATGATGATGAATGGCTGCTTAACGTCCAGCGGCAAATTTATATGCTTATTTGATGATGAATGGCTGCTTAACGTCCAGCGGCAAATTTATATGCTTATCCAGGACGACAGCGTGTTAATGTATTTATAAATATTAACCCTGCTTTGAACTAGACCGACACGCTGAGCCGGATTTTTAACGTGCTAGTTTACAAGGTATAACACTGCGTAAAGTTTTCGCGCGGAACCAATAACATTCAATTTTGAATCCGGTTCCTTACCTGGAAGAAGAAGAAGAACAGTCCGCAGGATGACATGTCACCTTACCCGGACACATTATTCTGATTCCGAGACGACCAGTCTTTGCTCTTACTCCATAATGCCGCGTGCTTAGCGGAGAAGCAGCAAATACCAATTTAAAAGTATTTTGTTTGACCCGACCGGAGTTCGAACCCACGACCTCCCGCACTCGAGGCGAACATACTACCATGAAACCACCGATGCGGTTGAGAACCATTTTGAAAGGTACAATTTATTAGTGCATAACAAAAAAGAACTTTACCAGAGATTTTGCACACGTTATTCCTTTTTATTAACTAATTAAAACAGTCTTACCTATAAGTTTCTTTTCACCACAGAGATCTTTTATAGCAACATCACCATTCTTGCCTTCGACTTTCTCACCAAAGAGGTCAATTATTTTCTCCATTTTGTATCTAGATGTCTGTGTAGTCTAAAGTGGTCGAATCGTTAATCATTTATACTACAATGTTCACTCACTAATCTATTTTTATGTCTTATTTTAGTATGAACTTCTAGAATGTAGAGGTCGAATATTTAAAGATTTAGAATACACTGTCCACTCACTAGTCTATTTTTAGGTCTTATTTTAACCTGTTAATGTGTAAATGTTAAAAATAGATAAATGAATCATTTACACGTCTGACGTGTTTTGTGTAATGTAATTAATAGCATTGGTAATCATGTGAAACCATGCAAGTATGTTTTCATTCACTACAGTTTAATTTATTTACTAACTTATGGTAGCACAACATAATTTTTTTTCACCCCTAATCAGACAATTTATACTGATATAATTTAAAATGAGGAACCAAAAGAAAGAAGAAAGATTAATCTATGAAATAGTGATAATTTGATTATTACATGATTATTACATAATTGATTATTATGTAATTAATTGCTAGATTTTGATGTCCACATTAGAATGAAATTAGCTTCTTTGTTATTTATAGCATCCCAAATATTTTGATAGATTCTTCTGCAACACAGTCCGTGTCCCAGATTTTTCCTATTGTATTTCATTCTCTCATAACCCTTCATTGAAGTTTGCAAACTTAATTCATAAGAAATGACTCGATTTAATTGGGTATAAAATTTGTTCTATTGATGTTTTGGGAAATCTGAGACACGGTTTTGAAGATAACTGGTCAATGAACAACGTGTGCTTAAATCAGGCATATTGGGGCACATGTCTGGGAGCTAATTTCATTTAAAACTACATTTTCATGACAAAAATGTATGTGTCACAATTGAATAAATAAGGATTTTCCTACTTGAATAAAATTGAGAATGGAAATGGGGAATATGTCAAAGAGACAACAACCCGACCAAAGAGAATACAACAGCCGAAGGCCACCAATGGGTCTTCAACGCAGCGAGAATATCCCGCACCCGGAGGTGGTCCTCAGCTGGCCCCTAAATAAAATTGTGTACTAGTTCAGTGAAAACGGACGTCATACTAAACTCCAAAACATATAAATGAACTAAAATGAAAAAACATACAAGACTAACAAAGGCCAGAGGCTCCTGACTTGGGACAGGCGCAAAAATTCGGCGGGGTTAAACATGTTTTGTGAGATCTCAACCCTCCCCTTATACCTCTAGCCAATGTAGAATAAAGAAACACATAGCAATACGCACAGTAAAACTCAGTTTAAAAGAAGTCCGAGTCCGATGTCAGAATAGGTAACAAAAGAAACTAAGCAAAATGACAATGATACATAAATGAACAAAGGACTACTAGCAGTTACTGACATGCCAGCTCCAGACTTCAATTAAACTGATTGAAAGATTATGTCTTCATAATATGAAAATCAAGTACAATCCCTCCCGCTAGGGGTTTAGTATCATACCATCATAAAATATATGAGAAGAACATAACCCGTATCATGCCAACAACTGGTTTTAGAATAAATGTGTTTATTTCCGATGCAAAGACCCTATGAGTGAATCAATATTAATACCAAAATATGCAATCCTTAATGACTTGACAACAGTATCGTAACTATATCCTTTCCGAATAAGTCTGTTTAAAGGTTTGGTTAGCTTTTGAGGTGAATGCCGACATTTTGTGCTTTGTAAAGAATATTACCATAAAATATTGGATGTGAAATACCTGAATGTATAAGATGTCTGCATGTTGATTTATATTTATGAATGATGTCCTTGTACCGATGATAAAATTTAGTAAATGTTTTGACTAGTTTGTGATATCGAAAACCCTGGTGTAATAATTTTTCAGTAATACAGAGATTTCTTTCGTTGAAATCAAATACGTTGTTACATACACGAGCGAATCGAACAAGTTGAGATATATAAACACCATAAGATGGCGACAAGGGAACGTCACCATCTAAAAATGGATAATTAACAATAGGAAATGAAAAATCATCTCTTTTATCATAAATGTTGGTATTAAGCTTCCCGTTAAAGATAAAGATATCAAGATCCAGGAAAGGGCAGTGTTCATTGTTAGTATTAGCTTTATTTAAAGTTAGTTCGGCAGGATGAATCTCTTTCGTGTACATACTGAAGTCGTCATTATTGAGAGCCAATATATCATCATTATTGAGAGTCAATATATTTGAACCTCATTAATTTCAATATTATTCACGCATGTACCATTGGGATACTTCAGGATTGGTCTTTAATCATTAGTCAATTAGGTTTTGACCAGTTAGAAAGCATTCCAGTTCAGCAATTCTAAATATATAAAGAAAATGCACACCCTATGCATCAAAAACCAGATCTGGCGGGAGAAGTTACATCATTATTGACCTTGCTGTAAGTCAGTTGCTACTGATTTGGATTCCGTTATCTATTCTTCTTTCTTCTATAAACCGTTAATCCACCTCGTTTTCATAACTGTTATTTTTATAGCTGGTCAGTGGTCATAAATCTATCAAATTATTCTATTGATTTACTACAAAGTACTGCCCACATGTTCTTATCTTGTATCAGTCAGACACGTGCATTTGTTTATAAGACTTATTACCACCAAAACTCATTAACAGTGCAAGATATGGAAACATATTGTTCTTAAGACTTTTGTGGTTTTGTAATATTAAGAAGTAACAAAAACAACTGAAAATGAAATTTTGATAAAATTTAGTTGCTTTTGTATTGTGCTACTTTAAAAGTACGCACCCCTAATAATTGGTGCTCATATGTTGCATATAATTTTCATAAATATATTCACTCTTCAAACCTGTGGGACATAATGTAACATTATTCATCATATTCTATCAATGAAAAATTTAGTCTCAGTTTTAACTATACAATTTTAATGAATATTCTCTTGGTCTGTTATTTGTATATTTAAAGGGAATGGAAACGCGGCCGACTTCAAAGAAAATTATATTATGCATCTCTGTTTCGGGCGATGCGTTAAGGTGGCACGGTAGTATTTCCTGGCCCATAAGCGATAATGATAGCCTTTTTAGAATTTTCACCACTTTCTAACACTGCCAAAAATTCTACATTCACAGTTAACTGAAGTACTTTCATTTTACTATTCAGAAATGAATTTGAATATGTATCATGACCGTTTACTTTTTTTGCTATCTTTTAGAACCTAAGGCCACTAGTGCTTTTAGGTCTTTTATCGTGCAGTGAATACAAAATTTAAAAAAATTCTCAAAAATTCATTTTCATCTGTATGTAAAATTATTTCATATTTTTCTACACCTGATTCATCCCTCAGTTTGGGAAAGTATGTTCAGTTGATACTGTATTTTTTGTCCAATCATAATGTTCAGATACATTGACTTAAGTAGGATAAACAAAAGAGCAACCTAAATTCTGGAATGCAAATACTACCGTGCTACCTTAAGGACCACAGGCTTATTCTTATTCTGTATCAGTTATCGAACTTGACCATTTTATCTGACACCAGTTGTCGGACTTTGTTGTAAACTGTGCAGTCCGAAAGGAGTATATTGGGTGATATTATATTAATCATGAATAAATATAAAAATAAATGAAATACACAAAAAAATAAACAATGCAACCACATGCAAAGTCACTTATAAATGAAAAACGCTTTTATCTGATATTTCATGAAGGTATGGATTATGATGAGTTGAAATCAGACATACGAGTTTCATCCGAATCAAAGGTAATGCAAAAAATGAAAAAAAATCACTCATTCAAAATTTGGTTTATTTTGGCATATGACTGGTGTAAAAAAGAGTAGTTAATCAGTTGAAAGGAAGATTATTGTTAACATATGCAGTATTCTAGATAAAAGAACAGTAGCTGTTATAATAATTTAAACACCGGTATGGTTTATTCCAATTTGCAGGTATAATCTAACATTTATACGAAAAACTTAACGGGACAAAGGTATCATTGATATGCTAATTCGTGTCCTATATTAAAGGTTTTAAAAACGAATTGCGACGAGCACACCTGTTAACTAATGCATCGGTGCAATAAACATTTCCATCAGAATCAGTTTAAAATATCACACATTCACACATTTGACATTTTCGTAAAGCACTTAGGAATTAATTTGCGGATCTCTAGACTATGCTGTCTTATTGTAATTTTACAGCAACGCTTATCTGTGACATAAACTGCAATATCAAATAATGATTAAGTCATGAAGAAAGTAAAAAAAAATAAATGAATTAAATCGTGTATAAAATAAAACCATTAATTCTAAAGTGAAAATGTATTATATTTATATATTTTGTGTGTACTTTCAGACTTCGTCGGTATGGAACTTGACTGTACAAAATGGCGTTAATGTAAACTATAAACATGTTAACCCCCTGACCTTACTATACAAATCCTTGATATTGATGAGTTTTGGAAGCGTCTATGGGCCATTCGATTTCCTCGGAATCAAGATTCTCGGAACGTCTCGAAAATTTTCGATCATTTATACAGGTAGTTATCTATGTCTTTGATATGGTCCCTCTATGGATAGGCTACCACGTGGCATTGTATATTACAACAATGTAGATTGGAAAGTAAAACAATAAAGATTATAGGTTGCAGTCAAAAAATCATTTATATGTAACAAACTGTTTGCCTTTTGACAAAACATATGTGTTTTTAATAATGCGAGTGTTTATTAAATATCAAGTATAATGATAACGCATTTATATAATTCATGCTTTGAGACGGTCCCTGTACGCGTTGTGTGTGTAGTATTTAATACAGCGCGCTGTTGTTCATTGTGACAATAAACCTGGGAATAGTTGAGTGATATATACTGTCCTAGAATAAACTGATTATTTCTGAACGTTTATCAGTGCGTGAACCCCTGAGGGTTCACGCATATATATTAATTGATGCTATAGTCTTTCGGAATACCGGAAATACCTACTGTCTTTTCGGAATACATCTGTTCTTTTCTATAGCCACCTGCGTAATAGGAAATACATTGATCCAATCAATATGTATCTGCCAAAGCTAAATAGAGTAGAATCAAAGGTGTTAATCTCATTACAAAGACTTATTGATAAAATTCTAGAAAAGTGTTAAAAACAAGTTGCTTTCTTTAAAAAAAAGAAAAGCAATACGTGAACCTAAGACCGCTGACTGCCGGGTCACCAAAAGATTGTTGCTGAATTTGTGTTTGCTTTTGAATTGAAATAA